GGCAAAACTCCATTTAAACACGTGTTAAATCACTCGAATTTCAAAAATTTATATCTCAAGTTCAAAACGGTCAATTGCAAACGGAAAAGGCTCATTTTGTTGCTAATTTTTCAAACTATTCACCATAAAATTGTTAACGAAAACTGTCGAAAAAAAATTCTACGCGATAACAACCTTAACACTCGGTACGCTATATAAGTCGTTTTTATATTCCTACTACAAGACTTAGATATTAGGTTAGATATTAGGTTAGTACCCCCTCCCACAAACACTAAGTATTCCTTATAGGGTTTTTCCCAATTTGTTGCTTTTCCCTATCCCTAATCCTTCCTTGCGATTATCATACTATTCTCTTATTAATTATAAACAAAAACTGATGTAAATAGAGGTATAGAGCCAACGGCTGATGACCTAGCTTTTTAAGCATCTTTTTATATACTATTTACAATAAAAATGTATATAATCGTTTATTTTAATAAACTCTTGTTAATTGTTAATTCTTGATATTAGGTTACTGGCTAAGGCGTAGGACTAATGTGCGAAAGATCGTAGGTTCGAGTCTCATTAGATACAAAATTTGAGTTCGTCGATTAGGTTTTTTCAGGGTCAATATCGTTGCCGCCGTGGTTAGGGGTAAGTAGTAAATCATAAAAACGAGAAAATTTTATTTTTCCATTTCTTGTTAATTACTTTAATAAGTGCCTCGGTAGCCAATCATATGCCGAGCATTTACAGTCCAGTCTATCGTTCTCTTTTATTACGAGCTTCTTTCAATCACCGTCAAAAGATTGATAATCGAATAAATTTTAATAAAAAATAAATGTTATTAATACAAAAAGTATGCCCGGTGTGCGTGAAACACGCCAAGCCCGTACTCGGTGTGGGCAAAATACTTCGAAGCTTGTGCTTGATGTGCGTAAAATATGCCCGGGATTTTCCACGTGCGTGAAACGTGGCGGAGCTTCGTGCCTGGTTTGCGTGAAACACGAAAATCCGTACATGTGCTGCATGTGACACGCCGGCGTGTTTTACGCTCGGTGCGAATAACCACTGCCAAAATATTGTTGTAATTTATATAAATTATTTCTTAAATCATAATAAATTTTCCCGTTTAAAGTTAATTTAGAAAGACCAGAAAGCACTGTCTTCAATATATTTTTTTAGATGACTTACAGTAAATGGTAATGACATATACTCAACTCATCTTCTCCAGCGTATCTTTGACATTCAAAAAGATTAAATTCACTTTTTTCATTGTACCCCAAACCAGCAAAAATTGGAAAATTTCTCACTACGACACCTCCGTGTTATAATTTAACAAAAACTTACTAACCAAATACAGAAAGAGTCCCTAAAATAGAAATGGGGTTGCATTAAATGATATATAAATAAATAATCATGGTCAAAGAAGGGAAACATAACTGAATTGTCAGTACATGAACTCTTCTGAACGAATCCACAGAAAATAAAGAGAATTACAGAAAGTTTGGTTAGCAAAAGGTAAACATTAGAAAGCTGTGTAATAATTCCGGGAACATGGGAAGCCGGAAAAAACTACCGTGATCCACGCCCATTCCAATTTTATTGAAGTCGACGAAGGGGTCCCATGACTGAAGTTTCTACAAAGTGTTAATACTATTTCATCACATATTGGCATCAGACTAAGTATTCATTTTAATATATTTCTCATAAAACAATCTAATGTCTATAAGCATCCTCTAATCATTCCAAGAGGATGGATTGAACTGATAAAAAAAACTTTTTTTTTCAATTTTCTTTTTCACTCACCTTGATTATCAGTTCAATTTCTGGAACGTCTCCGTTGCTTGTCCCATTGTCGTGTGCTTCATCCGCCATCTCAGGAATGCTTTTTTTTTGCGGTCGAGTGTTAGATTTCACCTTTCAAAAACCTTCCGAATAGTAGTAAAGGCAAAGATGTGACGGGAAAGATACAGCGCACTTACTAGTATTTCGCATAAATATTGAAGACCGAGAATTAAATAATTGACCACGTCGTGAAAGAAGCTCACCAAAAACTGTTGACTGGTGACTTCAGACGTTGATCAGCGATCCCAGCAGAAATTGTTTGTGGAACGGCTTCAACTTGAAACTTCTATAGCGGTGGCGCACGAACTAAACCAGGCGAGGCCGAGAGGAGACAATAGGGCATACGGATGGAAATGTCGATAATTTTAGGAGGACTCACCTGTGAGTAGGACAGAGCACGCGGATCGAGACTGTCGATAATAATTCGCCGCGGAAGTTCAGCCGAATGCAAGTTCAAATCTCGATCAGAGATCTTAATTTTTTTTTCAACCGGAAGTTTTCCAACTGCCATGACCTTTTTAATTGTCGTTTTAATGTGAAATATGCGGTGAAACTCAAATTATCAATTAAAAAAATTTGTAAACTGATAAGACAAATGTTTCCAGCCCACTAAACAAAATTCAACAATTTTGATATTTTTATATTTTGTAATTTAGGAATGCATTTAGCAATGGTTTTAATTCTAGTTGAACTTGATGAGTACATGATATTTGTCCTCAAAGTTCTCCAAAAATGAACACTGCTTTATTCTAATTTCTGAAACACAAATAAAAGTAATCAATTAGTTACAATCGTTTTCCTTATCGCTCTCTCTCACTCTTTCGGTGCCACTATCGTACGTTTCCTTTGTTCGTTCCTCGTTATTACATAAGTAGCTTTTGAATCTTTAATGAATTTGTGAAATCATAATATTAGAAAAACTATGAAAAAGTGGATAATGTGAAAAAATATGATAATGTCTTCTGTTTTATGAAATTTTTTAAATCTGCTCAATGATTTTTAATTATTGAAATCGTCAAGTTAATTTGAATTGTTAATGAAAATCGACAATATTTCTACTATTTTTACTTAATATTAAAGAAGGTAAAGTAAAAAAATGGAAAAATACTCGTGTTAGCGACGAAAGTATATGATCATCTTCCGGTCCTACATTTCAGCCAATCACAGTGCAGTATTCAAGGAATACGACAACCTTCTGGAAGTTGCACACTCATTCTCTATTCGTGTCTAATCACTTTTACGTTTTAATAAAAATTATTACATTAAATACTAATCTGCGCTTCACTAAAATCGAAGCCCGAAAAATAATCCGCTGAACATCCCTCGGCCGTCGAAATTACTCGTAGTATTTCCCGCTAGTTCCCTTGCAAACAAATAAATGTGCGAAATTTCGCAAATAGATTTTTTCCCTGCAAGACTTCAGAGGTTCATTCGTTAGCAACGAAGCCAATGATAGACATTCCTATAAATTTGGATGTCGAGGAATATTACAATTGATTATTTTTTCAGTTCAAATTCCACCTAATAGAATCGCATCAGTGGATAAGGCTACTTGGTATTATACTGAATATTTTTCGAATAGTTTATCTTTTACTTATATATTTCAAAAAACACTTGTTGGCAGTGTTGCCAGACGGAGGTTTTTTTAAAACGTTTTTTTTTTAATTTTATACAGTCACAGTTAATCGACTGAAGTCGACCACACGGAGAATTGACGCCTTTCGAAGAACGTAGTTGATATCTGATTTAGAGTTTTCTCTGATCTACCCTATTCTGCAAAAATCAAAGAGAATTTTTGTAAAAAAGCGCCGTCTGGCAACCCTGCCCGTTCTATCATGTTAACCGCTAACTCAAATTGACAGATTAAACTTAATTGTGTTATTCATTGAGTGAAATATTCTCTCTCATTTTTTCAAATCTTTTTTTTTTTGAGTTGAAATATTTTTTCTCATTTTTGCTTCCGAATGGAAGTATTGCAATCGTCCAATCCCGACCCTTTAGCAAAAAAAAATTCTCATTTCGCTTAGAATGGTCTGAAATGTAAAATACAAAAGTTTTTGAGAATGTCCGTGCGTGGTGCCCCCTGGTCAGGGGTGATTTTTTAGCCAAGAAGAGATAAAGGTGGGTAAAAGAAACGCAAAAAAAATGAATTCAACGAAATTGAAATTTCATCCAATAGTAGGTAAGAATTGAGGCTAACTATGGACGAAAAATTCAGCTCAATCGGTTGAGCCGTTTTTGAGAAATTGTGATTTGTTTATAAATCGTTTTTTCGCAATATTTCCAAAAATCATCAAAGTATTCAGTTTTTTTGGATTTCATTCTCTTCGCCATGATTGGCTTTATTGGAAGCGATCAAAAATTGGGGAATGAACTCTGAAAAAAATCATAGTTATTGTCACTTTTGTTTTTGAAAAAAAAAAAGTTGAACGCACTCTCACCCGCGCCAAAATCGAGCTATTAACTTCAAGTTTGGACGAGATTGTTCTCTTGTCACTGCAACACATGGTATTGACAATGAGCATAATTGACTGATTAGTTCCGGAGATATTCAATTTTTAATGTAAAATGATCAGATGGGATATATCAGAATTGACTGAGTTTAACTCGTTTTTTTTTCATCTGAAAAATTTAAAGGGGACTAAATCCATTCAAAATGGATGATCAATAGTACCTAGCGTATGGATGAATGGTAGCATGTCTACAGACGGATTAAAAAAATTCAAAGAGTTAACTTGAAATACTGAAAGAATTTATTCAAGTATATTATTTTATATTATTCTTTAGTAATGTTCTTAATGAAGGAATTGATTTTATTTATACATCCAACTTCAGATTATATAGTCATTCTGCAAGTTAGAAAGAGCAATTTTGGTTAACTGTGTGAAGATCTGACGATTGAATTATAATTTCAGAATTGGTTATCAGTTGCTTATCATGATTGTGACTTCAGTTGAGGCGAAGGTAAGGTTAATTTGCCCGCGGTTGAGGGTTTATTATTTCAGATATGGTTTTTAAGGTTATATCATAATTTTTTTTACAGTTTTCGTTAAAATTTGTATGGTGAACAGTTCGAAAAACTAGCTACAAAATTAGTGCCAGAGATTATAGGGGAGATCGCTAGGGCTTATGGAAAGGCTTGGGCGAGTGATTCATTGCGGCGGCTACGGAACTACGCCCAGAGAGCCCGTACGTGTAAGTAAAACAGGTCGCGAGCCCGTGAGTGTCGATAATTTTCAGAGTCCGTGCGTGTTGATAAAGTTCAGAGCCCGTGAGTATGGATAAGACAGAGCGCGAGCCCGTGAGTGTCGATAATTCGAGGCGGTCGTGAGCACTGATCTCTATCAGTGGAGATCACCCTCGATTGGGTGATGCGCATGCGCAGTCAAGGGCACGGTAGTACTCGAGCTACTATTCTGAGGCGCTGCTTGTCCTACAGTACTGCCTCAGTGTCAGCGTAGTGGGGGCATAGGGATAGTCTATCCAGTTATATAGAGATCATTGATCCAGTTATATAGAGATCAGTGAGTAGGGCACTTATCGAAATGACGCTGACGTCCGAAAACAAACGAAAACATCCGATGTACCGGAAAGTGGGGGTATGATGGAGACACAACTGATGGACGGAATGAAAAAGCGAGTTAACATTCATAAATACCCCATTTGTTTAAAAAATTGAGGAAAAATTGTCTCGCAAATGTATACTCAAACGATTGAGAATCATCTGAAACATGGTGATTTATTAATCCCTCAGAACTTTTTTTTTAAACAATTTCTTTTTTGTTGACACATTCAAAAATGATTAAACAAATTCGGGAAAAATAGAGCCGTTGAAAAAAAAGGTTCCGAGGGACCCATAAATCTCGACGTTTCAGGTGATTCACAATCGTTTGAATATATATTTGCGAGACAATTTTTCCCGAATTTGTTTAAATTTTTTTCAATTTGTTAACAAAAAAGATATCGTTAAAAAAAAAGTTCCGAGGGACCAATAAATCTCCACGTTTCAGACGATTCTCAATCGTTTGAGTATATATTCGTCAGACATTTTCTCCGCAATTCGTTCAACAATTTTTCGAATTTTTTAGAGTGAACTCGTTTTTTATTCCGTCCATCGGGTGTTTCTTGATCGTACCCCCACTCCGCTTTATATCGAATGTTTTCGTACGTGACGGTTTACTCGAATTAGCGATACTCTCGGTTTCACGCTGTGCCGAATTATCTACACTCTGGTGCTCGCGCTCTGTCTTATCCATACACACGGGCTCTGAACATTATCGACACTCACGGGCTCGTGACCTGTTTTACTTACAGGTACGGGCTCTCGATCTGCTTTACTTACAGGTACGAGCTCTGACCCTGTTGAAGGTTTTGTACAGGCGCTGGCAATCTCCCCTATAATCTCTGGTTTTGGATTCGAGATAGAAATTTTTTTAATTCGAGTGATTTAAGGAGGGTCATCAGTAAAAATAGAGAAAATTTGACAATATGCCATCGAAATGAAACTTTTCAGGTATATTCCCTGGTTAGTTTCCTGACTCACATTAAATTCTGGACAAATCGTTGAGCACCAATTTTATGAAATTTCTATTTAAAAAAAGGGCTTATGCACGAGTTAAACGAGACGGGTATTTCAATTGAAAAAAACGTCATATCGACAATATGGGGGAAGTCTAAACTTTATTTCTGTCGCTTTGTTTTTTTTTTGCACATTCACCTCGCGAAATTTGGTGAGATCCTTGCATACTAAAAATGAATAATCTTCGAAAAACTATCAAAAACGTGTGACTGAGGTTGTACTCTGATGAAATAGCGGCGAGACTTGGCAATGTGCAGGGAGCTAGTTTGCACATGTGCGCGACCACGAGTGGCGGGCTATTTCAAACAGCAATTGAAGTTTCTCAAAAGCAAAAAATTGAACGAAACAACTGTATTTCAATTTTCATCAAGTCGTAAACAATAATTTATTGATCGATGACTATGTTCTAATCAACGACTCTGAAAATAACGAGAATATTTTTTGTGACGTCACATTGGCTTCAAATTCTTAAAATAATTCTTAATTTGCTCATAGATATATTGCACATTTTTTCCTCGAGCTTTATATTGAACTGTGCTCAATAATTTATCATTTCCAGTGTGTGGGTCAGATTGGAACGCCAATAATAAATTTTCATAGTTGATACCACTCTCTGCCATTTTTGCCCTCCGAGTGAGGGGAATCAATTTGGAAAGAGGAGAGAGGGTAACTAAAATCTCTT